AAACACCTTGAAATTGGCCCCTGTCTCTTTAAGAACCTCCTTCCGCTTCTGTCTCGCCCATTTGTATGGGGGGGGGGGGGCTGCTATGATGCAGTTTACTTGGCATCTGCCAATGGAGTAAGAGAATTTTACTTGATAAGATTTTTGAAATAAGACAAAAATGAGTCAAATCAAGTATTTTAAGAATCTTACCAAGTAAAATTTTCTTACTCCATTGACAGAACAAGACAAATAATCTTACACATTCTGAAAACAAGATTATTATTCTTACACAATCAGTCTTTGTTTAGTAAATCAGTCTCAAAACAAGATCAAAAAGACTTTTTGGCTGGATATAAGATTTTAAAACTTGGTAAGATGGACAGTTTTTGCAGTGTGAAATTTAAAAAGAGATTTAAAGATGAGGTTATTCACTCTGCTTTCCATAGGACTGGGAGAAAACAACAAAGTTCATGTTTTTATGTGGAAGAATAGCAATTATCAATCCAGTCTTCCTTCACTGAACCTAATGATTCAGGCCATTTCAATTTCAAGGACTTGGACTTTATTTTATTTCTCTCCAGGCTAAAGAGTCTTAGGAAGTTCCAGCCTGATAAGCAGTGAGGACGTTTGCTCTCAGCTTTAGATTCTGAGGCAGCTCTTAAATCAAGTCAGCTGGTTCCTCTGATAAAAGTGTAAATTAATTTTGGGATCATTTTGACCTCATGAGAAATGGTGTTCTTTGTTACTTTAGAAAATTTTAGACAGTGCGAGTTTAAAGTTCATCCCATCTGTCTTTACTTCATACAGTAACAAACAGTGTGGCGTTATTCACAGCAGTTTTTTTTTCTCTCATTGTTGCAGCCTCATCGCTGTGACCAGTGCCCACAAACGTTTAATGTGGAGTTCAATCTCACGCTACACAAGTCCACACACACCACRTCTGACTTCACCTGCCCTGTTTGCAATAAAAAGTTCTCCCGTATCGCAGGCCTCAAGTCCCACGTCATGCTGCACAAAAAAGAGGAGGCAAGTTTTTTTTTTATTAATCCCACAGAAAACTTGTGCTTTCRTTTCATTAATCAAAAAGTTGTTTTTAAAGTCTTATTAACTTTGGGTAAATTCCTGCAGAACCTTATCTGCTCAGAGTGCGGAGATGAGTTCGTTCTTCAGAGTCAGCTCTCTCTGCACCTGGAGGAGCACCGGAAGGAGCTCTCCGACATCAGGGTGTACATCTGCAAAACCTGTGGCAAAGAGCTCAAGACGTTCGCAGAATTCAGAGAGCACACCAAGGGTCACATCAAGATGAGGTTCGTTGTAACATTAAACATGGCTCTGTTGTTTTTTTTTATTATCAAGTTTACTCTATTCCAGAAATATTGTTTCTTCTTCATCCACAAGTTTCAAACAAAAACACTGAAATGACCGTGTGGTGTCTTTTCAGCCAAACAAGTTTTAAGGGTCTAAATGAACAAAATGTGTCAAAATGCTGAGTACAGTGACATCAGATTCTTTGATGATGGATGTTTATGCATCACGTTAGAACTATTTTTCATGCTTTTAGTTGTTGTTTCCACCACTTTTTACACGCCTGTTGAAGGCAGAGGTAAATGAGTCAATACGTCCCTAAACTTTCTCTTTCCCCTCCCATAACTTGAGCTCTGCTCACGATAACTTAACAAAATTCGATACACATATGYATCATCACCAGATGGAGTGTCGCATATACATTTCATCACCCCAGCTTCAAGKTCAAAGTCACAAATCAAGGTCAAAGTATGGCTTGGCTATGACTTTGCTTCTCTGGGCCATAACTTCTGATTTGCTTGAGATAACTTAATGAAACTTGATATAAACTTGAATGAACAGTTCTATCACCACTATACAGTTGTTACAAAACATTTTCATCACCCCAGCTGCAAGATCAGGGTCACAAATCAAAGTTAAATGTTACACAAGGTATTTTCTTGTCCAGGCTGTTGCTGTTTTGCTGTATGCTAGTTTGTCGACAGGCCTATAAAATGCTATATGCGGCACTCTTGTTGGTCCTGTTCTGCAACATGGGTATGGTTATTAGTATTTTCAGTGTAGGATACACAACAGCTCAGTGGTTTGCACTGATGCCTCACAGCARGAAGGTCCTTGGTTTGATCCCCAGTTTGGACCTRGAGTTTGCATGGTTTGCTTGAGTGGGTTTTCTTCAGGTTCTCCGTTTTCTCCCACAGACCAAAAAAATGTATAATGGTTGCCCAGGCCGCCCTTRTAAAAGAGATCTGCCATCTCAATGGGATATGCCTGGTTAAATAACGGTACAATAAAATAAAAAATAAAAATAAAACGTAGGATAATCATATTCTAACTTGGTTCAGCCATTCAATGCAGACACCATACGAGGCATGGTTTCACAGTATACCTCGACACGAAAAAGTCACAGTTTCTAAACCACTAAACATTTCTGTCATACCGTTCCTGCAGAATAAGCATTTTATTTTAATTTATTTTTAATGTCTCATCAAAGAGAAAGTGAAGATGAAATCCCTCCTGTTGTGTTCACCTGCAGAATCAAAACCCTCTTCCCGCACACCTCCGAATAGCTGCGAGCTCTGCAGGKTGTATGATGGTTGAAGGAGGCGAACTCCCCAAACTTATGCCCATGTAAAAGAATAAAGTCAGCTATRTTGGAAAACTTCTACCATWAAAAGATGGATGGCTTGGAGGAAGAAGCTTGCCGTACGTGCAAAACATCTTTGGCACATGGCAGCCGAAGGTTTATGCCATCTTGAAATGAACAAGCTACTTTTAATCTCAGGCATTAGTGAAACTGTGAAACACTGTGTTACTGTGGTATATTGTGCAGCTGGTCACAACTTGTCTGCAAGAGTGTATTAGTGTTGTGTATTTGATTAGTTTCAATTGAAAGACAAAAGTTTTGTTTTGTTTTGGGTTTTTTTTTTTAATGAAAGGTAAAAAGGACAGAGTGCCTCTGTAGCTTTAGCCRAGCAGCTCCATAGCTGAACACACATTTCATAGATCCTGAAACTTGTTATTTCTGTTGTTCAATGATTTATGTATTTAATCTTCTTTACGTCAACCACACTTTTGGAATTTAAAATGCAATAAAACTCCTGATTTTTCTTATCAGTTAAAGCAGTAGAAAAGCAGTTATCCTACATTATCATTATAGCTTAATTGCGTTAGGTGCTAAATTTGTACATTTGAACACACATGTTAAATTAAATTTCAGCCTTCCTTTGATCTAAAAACAGCTTCCAAAGATAATTCAAGTTAAATATGACAATAGAAACATTCTTTTCTTTTTTTTTGTTTTTATATATCACTTTCAAAATAAAACCTTTTTAGAACTGTAATTATAATACCGTGATACCACTAAGCCATGATATTKTTGCATAACGTTATTATAATGTCAGAATTTCATACCGGCCCACGCCTTTGCAGTAAACGTTGCAATGGACGTGGTGACTTTTTAGAATTTGCTTTGTCTTGTCTGAGTTACGTGAAATTTTGACATTATCCTGATACATCTCAGTAATCCAGGTCTTCTAGACAGGTTCTTCTTTAACAAAACGTTTCGTCTCTCCTCCAAGAGAATTCTTCAGTTTTTAAATTTTGACATTGCTCACGTAATGGKGCTCTGGTTAGCAGTGACAACGAGCCACTACTGGCTGTTTTATTTTTCTTTCTCTGCATGGGAATGTAAGAAAGACATGATCGAAATTGGTAGCTAGAATAATTTTGTTGATTGTCTTAAAAAAATCTTTAATTTTCAGAACTGTAACTCCATTTAAGTGTTCAGAGCCTCTGTGCCCCAGCACCTGTCTGTTTGGCCCTGAAACTTAACTAGGCCCTCTCAACAGCACTGTATCTGTTGCAGGTTGTGTTAAAAAGTCTCTTCTCTTCTAAACTCTTTTACATATCTTAACAATAATAGAACACCATGGTCACTCTCTGGGGTCGTTACCTTTTACGTCAGACATTGGAATCCTAAATAAGCCTTGTTGATGTTACAGAGTGGGATGCATTGATAGAGACTTGCTGAATCTCTCTCTTTAAAGCAAATGACTGCAATTCATCACAAAGAGTAAAATACAGGACTGGATCTAAAACTCAATGAATCAGTCACAAAATTTCCTACAGAAACATATAGTTGCATATAGTGTGGCTTGTGCCAACATAATTTTCCCCTTTAACTTCATAGAAGCTGAATTACTTTAAGACATTGGGCCTCATGCAAGAACCGTTCGTACGCACAGATCTGTTCTTAAATTGTGCGTACGAGTGATTTAGGAGARTTTGTGGCATTCACCAATGTTTTCGTATTCTAAGATTTTTTTCAGATACGAACAAAATTTACGAGTGGTCCAGACCTGTCGTATAT